AAAAGGCCACAACCTTGTGAGATACAAACACACAGATGTACACATACATGACCAGAAGGCAATTAATTCTATGCTCAGAATTCTCATTGACCATGTAGGTACAAAAGAAAAAATTGTGGGATACCATCCTCACATGTCATGGCTAGAATTTGCAGGTATATATAGAAAACACACAACTTTTCCCAAGAAAAAAGAATAGGGTACAGAACTTGAAAGACGTAATTGTTCCAGTCTGCATACTAGGAACTGTAAATTACCATAATAATTTCCAGGACATCTATAAAATAGTAAACAATATATATCGTCTATAAGAAAAAAATAGTTCAATAAAAAATCACACTCAATATTCAACAAAAAATAGTATCTTTCATAAATTATCATCAATTGATAAGTTCCCATACATGATTTTTTCATAGTAGAGAAATGCGAGATAGAAAGAAGAAGAAAATCTTGTTCAAGATGGGGGGGAGAGAGAGAGGGCAGCAAATCTGGAGAGAGAAGAGAAAAGTTGTGAAATTTTTAGGGTTGAGATAAAATTGTTACAGATTTTTTGTATTTATATTTTTGCCTTGAAATCCTTCAAAATCTATCTACTTAATGGAATCTTTATAAATCAACTAGTTATTGAGGACATTTAAATTTCAAAATTACCTATTAAAATCAACGTTGAGGACACCTAAATTTATAAATATTTCTAAAAATCTAGATTGTGGACACCTACATTTTAATGAATTATATTTAAATTTGAATTGAGGATACCTCAATTTAAATGGAGTTTTAAAATTCATCAAACTCTAAATTGAGGATACCTTTCTAAATTTTTAATAAAATTTGTTGAAACGTGTAATTGAAAAATTGTTGGCTTCATGAAATATGTGAGATATTAAAATTTAGATTTTAAGAGGCAGTGAAATATTTTAACACCCAATTTGTTATTTTTTTCGAACATCAAGGACCATTAGTGAAATTATATTTTTATAAGAGAAACTCAACTCTATCTGTCCCTTTCGTTCAATCCCCTTTCTTAGTTTGTACGCTTGCTGAAAACCAGTGGATAGAATTTGCCAGATATATATACCTACATAAATACATTCGTTTCTCTCTCTTCGAGACTTATCGCGATCTACTTACAGGAAAATTTCTGAATTAATTACTAATAAATTAAGTCGGTTGTTGAATTAAACCTCTTGTTTCACGAATTCAGGAGGATTTCGATATTTTTGATTTCTCCTCAGTTTTGAAAAGGTTAGTGTCTTTAAAATTCCTCGTCATGAATTGGCGTTGTTGATTTTTAATTTTTTATGTCCATATACGTTCATTAATTTATTATGAGGTAGTTGCTAATTGATTTGGTTTGAAAATCCTAGGGTTCTATTTATGTTTGCGCGTACTACTTTTTGGAGTGAAGATCAGTGCATCTTTTTCTTCTTTATGTGTTTATGTTTTTCATTTTAACATGTACGCCTTGCGGTTAGGTGTAAATACGAAGATTTAATATAACTTTGTGAAAGCATGATCTTTTTAGCCTCTGGCGTTTCGTAACTGTTTATTGATTATTATAGTCGTATTGCAGTTTGTATTGATGGTTTTTTTAGCGGCATTGTATCTTAATATTAATTTTTATGCGGAAACATGAAGCATGGTGTTTTGTCTCGGTAGTTTCGTATCAAAAAATTAATAACCTTTTGTTTTTATGAATCTGTTGTTTCTTCAGTGACAATAATATTTTCTTCATTTTTTCTGTTTTGGTTACTATAAATGGAATTATTTTCTTCATCTTTTCTATTGCTTTCAATGAACTGAGTGGAATCTAATTTTGTGTTCCTCTTTCTAAACATAAATGCTGTGTCTCCATATAATTATTTATTCTCTTAAGCCAACAAGACAAATCCAGGTGAAGAAATAAAACAAACAGAAAGAGATGAATGTGGACCATGGTTCCTGTTGAACATATTTATGTTGTACGTCAATCGATAACTATTAGATACCTGGGGGTTAATTTCTTTTTGCACACCTTCTTCATGTTACTTTGTCAGAGTGGAGAAAATTCGGTTAGAAGTCCCAAGAGATAAGGGAAAGAAGAGAGAAGAAAAGGGAAGGTTCTTTAGATCTAGAAGATTCGCTTGGAGTTGTTCACTTTAATTGGTTGCCTGATATCTCGAAATCTCTTTGCTTGCGTGGGCAGGGGTAGAAATGTTAAATGAACCATTAAGATAAGTATCAATATGTCAGGAAATTATGGAATGTTACGAAGAATGTTTGACTATGCTGCGTGTGACCCAGGCGAAGTTGCCTTTCATTTTCCATGAACATGCAGCTTTGGTGGAACTCAGTATTTGGATTTTCGCACTTTAGCTGGCAGTTAGTTGCGTTGCTTTTCAGTTAGTATTGGCAATTTATTTCACTGTGAAATACAAAGGTTGTTCACGTGTTTGTGATTCTGTAATGACATGTGCCCAGTTGAGATATACTACTCTGTCCCACAAGGATCTGGATTGTACTTGCAGTCTGGTGAAGGCATAAGGCGAGTAGTGGGGCATATACCCTAAGGCATGGATATTCCCTCACGAACACTCAAATTTTAAGTATTTTATAAAAAGAAAATTGTATTTAGAATGAGGAATGTACAAAAATACGAGTAATTTAAGAAATATATTGAAATTTCAGAAAAATTATGGAACACTAATAGGAGAAATTGCACATAAAGAATGTGTTGATGTTCATAAACAATTGATGTCAATTGACAAGGAAAGAGCTTTTCAGGATCAGTGGAAGGCCAGGAATAACACTATTCAAGTTGTTGCCTTGAAGGCGGATGCTTTTCAAGGTAAAGGAAGACGAGTTTTCTCTTTAGGCAAGCCATTCCGAAGAAGTTTCTACTTCCTAATCCAGTCTGAAAAAAATTATGAATACTAATTTCTACTTTTCTGTAGGTTAAAGCGTGTTTCCGTTTTATTTACTAAATTTTTGGGCCAGAAAAGTGATATTACTTTATGTCTGTATTTTTTCTGGTCCCTCTATCCAGGTTTTCTTTCCCTCTTCTCTATTTTTAAAACAATAACAAACATGGAGTTTTTGCCAATAAATTTTGAGATTGGCTTCATGAATGAATTTTTATCGCTCCTTGTGGTTCATAACCACATTTATTGAAAGATCCAATGCAATTGGATTATTAACAACCAAAACATTGATTCACAACAATGCGTCAATCGGGCTTAGAGCACGTGAAACTCGTCACTAGCTCATAAGGGCTTTGAGACCATAGCATGTTACATGAAAGTGTTGCTTTCTTTAGTCTTGTCACATAGCCGTCTACCTAGACGAGCTACTTGCTCTGTAGTGTTTATGATATGCACGTCGCCCACCTGCTGGCTGGGCGAATTGAAGCACTTTTTCTGTCAACTGTCCACCTGCCTTTTCGTAATAAATTTGATGTTAGCTTTCATAAATCAATTCCTGTCACTCCATTGGTTCCATAACTATATTCATTGAGAGATTCAATGCAACTGGATCCTTAACAACCGGAACATCAGTACCAAACTACAAGCATGCTGTAAGGAAGTTAAAAACTAATAGTAGTTTAGCTCAATGGCCAAACAAAAATAGATACAATTATTCAATATCTAAAACTTCACCATCCAAAGTGCGCTCTACTCTATTTCTTCCCCCACATCTTCTAAATTAAGTGTTGTATTTTGATGAACAACCACTCATCCACCCGATCTAGTTCTTCATCATTGATATAAAATAATGTATTTTATCTTTTAAAATATAAATGGTAAATTAGAGCATAAAATAAATGAAATGATTTTCTGGTCTTGCATATTCCGCTTCCTATTTGGACTTAGTTCATTTTAAGGATGACAATTATTAACCATGTGTAGCTAGAGACTGGAGTTTGCTTTGTGTAATATAAAGCATACCCATAGCTTTTTTTTTTTTGCCATAAAACGTTAGTTGATTCTCCAATATGACCCAAAAGCCACTTGAAAGGCGTAAACTTATATCATTGGACGTAAAAAACACTCTTGAATAAAAAGGTTATCCCCAAGAGGACATAGGGCTTCGTCAAATGGCTGAGTCAATTTTGATGTGACTCGCCCTTTGGTCATGTCACAAAAATTGCTTTCTACAACATTGTTCCACTTATCAAATAAGAACAAAAATCGGCATGTTCTCATAGTTGTTGGACATAAGATACGAAATATATAGAGCATATCATCTGTGTGGTTCCATTTATGTAGTGATCATGGTCACTATAAAGAATAAAATAATTGATTAAACATTTGAAGCTATAACTTGTGAATGTCTTCTTGAAATGGGATTAGTTTCTTGAAATTATATGATTTCTGCTATGGATAAGGCACTTAAATTTTCTTGTTAAAAAAAATTCCAAATTCTGGGCCTCAATGTCACATGTTGCTATGTACTATTACATGTAATTAAAGAAAAAAGGCTTCGTTTAGGCCTGCTCACGTCAGCTTCAGACACTGTTGGTATGCGTGCATGTTTGCACGTTTGGCTACTTGTGCCCATATGTTGACACGCATGCAAATGAGTGTCTTTTAACTTCCGCTTGTTATTTCTAGGTGACTTGTTAGTTAATATATTTAATTTATTGGTGCTCAGGTGCATTATGTCAGTTTTATTTTGGGTGTGGTTTTCTGTAGAAGTACTTGTCAAAAATTGGATATATGCATTGCTTCTGCCGAACTTTAAGATCCTTGATTTTCTTTGGATTCAAAACTCATGATATTCATATTGAACTTCTCTCTATTCTGATTGGGTTATGATCTAGGTCTAACATCATGTCCCATCATCAAGAAAACAACGATGATTACATGGAAGATGAACATGAAATGGAAGATGTGGATGATGACATGGGTGATGAGTTCCATGGTCAAGATGCTGGTGGCTCAGATTCTGATCCAGATGAGTATGGTTACATGGTCTGTTCAAATTCTCTATGTGTGAATTCAATTGTTTATGTCCATAATGCGTAGGAGTCTTCAACCTTCATCAATTCTTGCCGCTAACCATCCTTTTTCTGTTTGCTGTACAGAGTGATAGAACGCAAGATACTAATGCCGCTCAAGCTAGGAGAGGCCAAGATATTCAAGGGATTCCTTGGGATAGGCTCAGCATAACAAGGGAGAAGTATAGGCAGACTAGACTAGAACAGTACAAGAATTATGAGAACATTCCTCAATCTGGAGAAGCATCCGGGAAGGTAAACTGTTCCATTTTGCTTTTAAAAAAGTCCCTCCTCCTCGTCTCCCCTGAGAGGAAAAAAAAGAAAAATTGGTTCATTGAATTATTTTTACTTGTTTTGTTTACTCACTTTGCATGCCTTTTTCCTCTTGTGAATAGGATTGCAATACCACAGATAAAAGGGGTTTGTATTATGAATTCAGACGCAATTCGAGATCTGTGAAATCAACAATCTTGCATTTCCAGGTTGGTGACAAGTTTTTATCTTCAAAGTTGCTTCATCTTCTAGATAAATTTTACTTTCTCCTTATATGTTCTTCTTTTATCTTCATCTCTTAATTTGGATTTTTAACAATTAGTAGGAAGTCTTGTCTTTCTCAGTTCTATATAACAGTGAGGGCTTAATTCTGTATTTAATATCAGTCTTCCTATGTAACTTCTCTTTTTCTGTTGAATATTGTTTATCATGTCTTAAATGTTGGCATTCCTTTTATGTTATTTGTTTAGTGTTAGATATTGTATCAATTACTTTCGAGGGGATTATACACTGTTATAATTAGATTACTTGAATAAATTACTGTTGAGATTTGGAAAATTCTTATTATAAGCAGTCCACATGAGAATTTAAAAGTTCATGTTATTGATTACTTAGGTATTAAAGATGACTCCTACACTTATGGATGTTATCAACTATAAGATAACAGCTGCCTTGATTTCCCACAAGGACCAGGCTATCAAAGCAGATGAAACTTACATTAGTGAAGATGATGAATAGTCACTGTTATGCAATGTGCATGAACAGTTGAACTTACAGTTCCACATTCATATATCCTGATTTGCTCTGGTTTGGGTTTATTTACACTTGAAGAGGTCACAGTTAATCTAGCTCTTTCCTATGAGACTAAATACCAAAAAAGCCCATTATGGGAATAAGGAAAAAGGTTCAGTAAAAGGTGAAGGGGAAAGAATGAGCTGAAAGGGGGAACAGGGCTCATTATTCTGTTTGCCTGATTTTTTTATTGTTATTTCATCTTCTTTGTTCTAATTTTTTGTGGCTTATGTTTGCTTTATAAGCTCGATTGCTGAAATTCACATTCAATGCTTGATGATGCAGTTGAGAAATTTGGTATGGGCTACAACAAAGCACGATGTTTACCTCATGTCTCGTTCCTCAGTTTTGCATTGGTCATCCTTGACTTGCAGTAAGTCTGAAGTTCTTAATGCCTCAGGACATATAGCACCTTCTGAGGTGAGTATTTAGTTCCCATATATTACATTTCTAGTTGCGCCGTTCTCTCTCCTCCAATATTGGAGCTACCACCAGTCCAATACAGGACTACAAGTTATCCCCTTCCCACTATTGCAGAAACATCCTGGAAGCCTGTTGGAAGGATTTACACAAACCCAGGTCAGCACACTAGCCGTGAAGAATAAGCTTCTGGTTGCTGGAGGATTTCAGGGAGAACTTATCTGCAAGGTTCATATTGTTAATATTATTATTATTATTTTTTCAATTCAATTATATAATATTGTTGCAGTATCTGTTTGTGTTGGCAATACCAGCATTTGTGCATTGAGTTTCTGAAAGGCGCTTCATTTGTGGTATTCGCTTGATTACTGTGATTGGTGTATTTATTTAAAATAATTTTGACGTAGGATGCAATAAAACAATTATATAAGAAGTAGAAAGGGTAGAGAAGAAGAGAAAGGAGGGGGGAAAAGAGAGGACAAGAGAGCAGGGGGAAAAGAGAGAAATTGGGGGAGAATATTAATTTATTTCATTATTAAAGTTGTTTTTATTATAATGCAAAAGTCACTTTTATATAGGGTTTCAAAAGATCCTATTTTAAGTAGGAAATACTAAAAAATCAAACCTTTATTATATTTCCTAAAATAAGTAATAAAATTAGAAACTAAATGTCATAATCTCTTCTAATATTTCATCATTTCTTCCCCGATGAGAGAACTAGACTCCGATAAAATAGACTGCAGCATTTTGGCCAAGGAGGACGATCTCTCTTCTTGATCAAATAATGAAATCAACCATGTGAAGACAATTGAATCTAAAATTCAGTCTTAAGCATTTGATTTGATTCTAAAGGGACGATTTTTCCTTTTAATGAAGTAAGGATGAGGACTCCATGAAGCAACAATATGTGCAATTCATTCACAAAAACTATGACATAATTCACATGAGGGGCACAAGGAACTAGTATTGTAGACTAGCTGGCAGAATCAAATGAATACAACAGTGGCTCGAATGTGTCTCGATAAGGGAACAATTATGTTATATTGAAAACAAAACATTCATTTAAATGTAATGACTAGTCAAATAGATTAATTTCAAGTAAGTGCTCCAATTTTTTCTTTACATGTTTTGGGAACTGTGCCAAAGAAGCACGTAATAAGACAAAAATCATAATGAAAGTATTTGTCTAAATTGTGAGTTAAATGCAAGCTCATAAGGGTCATTACTAAAAACAACATATCTATCGAATTCAGCAAAAAAATCAACTGAATACGGAGCTAAAGCAATATGATGGTAATTAGTAGGTAACAATCGAATGTTGATTGAAAAAGTGACCTTGGAAAACGTGGCAACATGAGTTTCACATGATGGAGGTAAATTCATAATACGGTCAGTGTTTAGGACACAAAAAGGTAAGAACTACTTCAACATGAAATCGATGATGGGTGGACTATTTGACTTAGGTTGCATTACTATAGATAATTGCTCATCATCGCTATCAGAATATTCAATTGATTCTACAGTGGAAACCTAGATTTCTTTCTCATTAGTGAGAGCATCTTCAAGAGATTCTTTAAATATGAGATGTTTTCGATTTTAAAGAGTCAACCATTAAAATCATGCTCCAAGAGACTTAAATTAACATTTTAATTTAGAGTGAGTTTGACTTTTTAAAATTTGGAGAGCTAAACCCACTCTCTATAATTAAATGCATTCAAAGTGTTTCAATTTTCAATGTAAGAAAATACTAAAATAATCTAGAGAAAAGCTAGTTAAAATAAAAGATAGAGAAAAAAAAATGTTTTTTTTGGAAGTAGTAAAATTAAATGTTAAATATAAAGAATTTGTTGGAATACTTGAAAATTTTAACTCTTTAAATTTATTGATGCTTTCCAAATAATAGAATATGCTTTTTAAAAATAGTCTCTTGGAGATACTCTAACACAATTAGACTCGGAGCTGATTGTCGGGATTGAGGTAAGAGACCTAGTTTATAACATGCTTAGCGAAGATGGAAGGATATGTTCTATAGGTTGGCTTGTCAGTAAGCTTTATCTAAGGATTGGGATGTGGAAATGTAATGGTGTATGATTTCAGGATTCAAACGGTCAAGAAATCTAGATGCTGTAACATGGAAAACTTCATAAATACTGCAATTGTGTTATAACTTTTCGTAGTGGGCTACATATTCTCTATAAAAAAATTGATATAACAATCGAATTTTATTGTAAATAGGAGTGTATCTATTATTTAATACTCGTTTTATCTCATTCAACGAAGTGACAAGGCGCTGAGCTAGGAGATCAATGTCACGTAAAAAAGAATTCCAATAACCCCTAGCACAGCTTACAGGTGCCACAACGACTCGAGTCATTCAAGTTGTGAAATTAAAGAATTTCTCAAGAGTATAGAGCTAATCAACAAGTGAGTCAGGTCCAGTGAGATTATCAAAGTCACATAGTTGGAATGCAAGTTGCCGAGATTGTACCATTAGAACAATAAAAAATTGTAGAAATAGCTATTGTGGGTAAGATGAATGGAAGAGCCAACTTACCTCTTCTCTGTATTTCATTGACTTAAATAACAAAGCTGAATATACAAATTATGGAATGCAGTATAGTTATGGAATGTACAATTCTTATGATTGATAGAATGAGGAGAAATAAATGGAATGCAAATTGAGGAGAAATCAATGGGATGCTGAGTTAATGTAGGAGATCACATTGGAGATGATTGTGGAGCTGGTATTGATATAGAAAGACGAAGGTTGCATGGGGAGATGTGCAGCATGAGCCAATAGAGGATGGCAGTGTCTGATTTGGACCAGTGTTCATAAGCCGGGTTAGCAGCGCCGTCCAAGAGGGCCTTGGCGGGGGCGGGGATGGAATCGTCCACCATGCCAAGCTTGTCATGGCTTTTTAAGAAAGCCAAAAACTGGGTTCTCCAAGTAAGATAATTGGGTCCATCAAGTTTGGAAAATTGTGGTGTATTTGTGTTTGAAGTGGCCATTGAAAATTAGGAATTAATCTGCAGAAGCTGTGTTTGTAGGATCGAAATAGGCGTGAGCCTTAAGCAGCTGATAATGTGTAAGAACTATAAGAAACTGTAGAAATAGCTATGATTGGTGGGATGAATGGAAGAGTCAACTTACCTCTTCGCTGTATTTCATTGACTTAAATAACAAAGCTGAATATACAAATTATGGAATACAGTATAGTTATAAGAATGTACAATTGTCATGATTGATTGATGAGAAATCAATGGGATGCTGAGTAGATGTAGGAGATCACGTTGGAGATGATTGTGGAGCGGGTACTGATATGGAAAAACCAGTGTTGAATGGAGGAGATTGAGGTTGGTGAATACTGGGTCTAACATGTACATCCCCAACAAAGTTCTTAGATAGAGGATAATTGTGTTGATAAGTTCAAGGACTTGGGACATGATTGTGGTAGTGACCTAAGGACATAATCCGTGGCAGTTGGTGATGTTTGTTGAGGTGATCATAGTTAGGATGGCGAGTAGAGCAGGTTGGGTTGTGTATGTAAAGGCTGGGGCAATGGAGCTAATTGCCGAAACTGGATGGGATTGGCAGCGTAATGTGGGTAGGTTTTGGAGTTGAATGTAAAGTTGATGATGAAGGAGACAGTGAGTGGGGTAGAGTATGAAGCGCGAAGAGGAATAGTTAGGCTGCTTGAGGAGTTGATGAGGAGGAGGAGCAGCCGATGACAAGAACAGTGGGTTTTGAGAAGAGATTGGTGAAAAGGATGACTTAGGATTTGGTAGATTGAGGAAAACTGTGATGGTGGAGATAGATAGTATTCTGGGTTGATGGCGATGGAAAAGAACGTAGGCTCTTGCAGGGTTGGAAGAGAGATTGTTGGCGGTTGAGTGGTAACCGACGGTGGGAAAACAGTAGGATTAAGGTTTTGGAAGAGGGGTTGGTGGGTTGGGTTGGTTGAGGTGGTCTGAGTTATGGTGCATGGTATTGATGGGTTGTGGTTTATAATGGATTGGGCAATGAGATGTTAAGTGGGCTGTAATTTATGTGTGATGGGGGTGATTTGGTGGGCTATGGATAAATTGTGGGTTTGAGGGTGTTATATGTACTGAGCTAGGTGTCTCTTGATTTGTGAGTTCTTTTGGGCTTTTTTGGTTGTAATGTTAGGGGCTCTACTGAATAACAGCAATTGGACGTAGCAATGTAACGACATAATCATTTATTTATTTATTTATTTTAATAAGAATAACTAAAAACTGAATATATGTACTGATTAACCAGTGAACAGTTTCGCATTTTTTTGAACTGAAATAAACAGCTAAACAGAGGAAAAAACTGCTGTTACTACTGAGATGAATCTTCTAGTATTTTGTATGTCTAAGGTTTTTGTATATGGAGGTGGTTTTAAGGTTTAGATGGGTGGTGGGAGGCGGCGGTGTATAAATGGATTTGATGTAAATGGTTGGATTTTTGGATTTGAGAAGATGTACGCCAAAAGAGAACGAATTGTTTTGATATCTAATTGATGTAGGATGCAATAAAATAGTTATATGAGATGGAAAGGGAAGAGAAGAAGAGAAAGGAGCGGGAAAAGAGAGAAGAAGTGGGAGAGAACAGAGAAAAATTGAGGGCGAATATCAATTTATTTCATTATCAAAGTTTTTTTTTATTACAATGGAAAATATTCCTATTCTTAGTTGGCAATACTAAAAAATCAAACCCTAGTTATATTTCGTAACATAAACATCAAAATTGGAAACTAAATATAGTAATATCTCTTCTAATATTCTATCAAATTTACTTTTATCTGGTCTAATTGTCCTACATATAAATTAAAAATTCATACTATGCAAAGTGCTAACATGTTTATTGGAGACTTTTCAGTATTATTGATTAAGATCAAGTACAAAAAAACTAGTGATTTTGATTCTTTTGCCAGTTTCTTAATGGCTTAAACACGTACAGTCTGGAAAACTAGATTGGTTAATATAAAGAAGAATCTTATTCTTGAGTTATTGATAGGTTGTTCATTTGCCTTTTAATCTGTTCCAGCACAATACTTCATCTGAAGGACCTGAGTCCTATTATTGAGGCATTTTGTTCCACTTATTTGATTGCAGTTTTTAGAAAGACCTGGAGTGAGTTACTGCACACGGACAACCTACGATGACAATGCCATCACTAATGCTGTTGAAATATATACGTCTAGAAGGTATCTGCTATTCCTCAATGCTTGTGTATATAAGATTTTTCTTTCTGGGCTTTCCTGAGCTTTGTCTTCTCTTTTCAGTGGTGCACTTCATTTTATAGCTTCAAACAATGATGGTGGTGTTCGAGATTTTGATATGGAAAAATTCCAACCGTCCAAACATTTTCGTTTTCCTTGGCCAGTAAATGTAAGGCTTTTTCTCTCTTCAACTGTGTCCCTCCATACCCAGTCTCTCTTTGAGGTCACTTCTATTTTGGTCTTGACTTGCGTATTGAGGGATGCTCTGTTTTACATTTTAGTTGGTCAGTTTTGTTAACCTTCTTGTTATATAAAAAATCTGTGAAGTAGCAAAATTCGTTAATATTGACATTGGTATCCAACCAAGCCTTTTGCATATAGATTTAAGTGAAATCTTAATTGGTAAAAGTCGTAGAATAAAACATTTGCCAGAAAGATCAATGAGTGAAGAATTTCAGGACATAATTGAAGTAAATAATGCCTGAAGATTTATTTGTAGTGTCATGTCCCCCCCTTCCCCCCTTGCTCTCCATGTGCGCACCTTCTCTGTGTTTGCATAGCTTTTACTTTTAACATACTTGAAGAGTTTGTAGTTTTTTATGGTTGTCCAACAGAATATCCGCGTGCAAAGAGATTTCAAGTTTTTTTATAATTTAAATTTCTTTAGTATGATTGAGGGATTGGGTTGGATGTACTTATGGTAGTCAACTTAGTCCTATACAGTTTACTCTAATAACATATCCTCGAATGTTTCGTTTATGATGGCAGCATACATCTCTTAGTCCCGATGCTAAGCTTCTCATAATTGTTGGAGATCACCCAGATAGTTTATTGGTGGATTCCAGGAGTGGGAAGGTACTCTAGTAATTCCTTCTGTGGAAATTGAAAATACCGGGAGCATTCTAGCAGTGCACTACATGCTAATTTTTGCTATCTATTTTGCAGACTGTTGCATCCTTGTGTGGGCATTTGGACTATTCATTTGCATCAGCATGGCATCCTGAAGGCTTGACACTTTCTACGGGGAACCAGGATAAAACTTGCCGAATTTGGGACATCAGAAACCTATCCAAGTCGGTCGCTGCGTTGAAAGGAAACCTTGGAGCCATTCGATCTATCCGCTACTCATCTGATGGTAGATTCATGGCAATGGCAGAGCCTGCTGATTTTGTCCATGTTTTTGATGTTGAAAGTGGTTATGAGAAGGAGCAGGAAATTGATTTCTTCGGTGAGATTTCTGGCATGTCATTTAGTCCTGATACCGATTCTCTTTTTATTGGGGTGTGGGATCGTACATACAGTAGTCTCCTCGAATTTGGTCGACGTTGTGAGTACTCGTACCTCGACTCCATTGTCTGAGTTGGCTGTGTAATCTGCAAAATAAGTGTTTGGACATGGCTCTTTTTTCGTGAAACAGTTAAACTTGTAGTGCAGTCTTCAATAGAGGGTTTAGGCCTGGAGTCGTTAAATTGTGCAATGAAGTATAGAATGTTTGTCTCACAGTTAGGTGTGTCCCAAAATTTAACTCGGGTGGGATGTACAGAAAGATAAGTGCTGATTGTGTGAATAATAAATAGAAGAGCTGGTGATCGCAAGGCATTTGCCCGGCTTGTAACCTAGTTTAGGTTTCTCATTTTTTATGTGTCTGGGAACCTTATTCGTTTCTTGGAGTTGTTCATGACATTTTGTTTATGATTTACATTGTCACTAATAGAGGAGGCTTGTCTTTTGCAGAATTTTGTTATTTTTACTCTGATGCTATTACATTTACAAGAAAATATAAGTAGGTAATTTAGAATTGAAATGTCTATTGGTGTGCAATTTTAATGAGTACTTGGATCATTCTCCTAGTTTGAAGATTAATGTAATTATACAAAAGCTGTAAAGGGAAATATAGAACTGCTAGAATTACTACTTGTATAATAAGAGCAACTGCTTTTTGTTGGAGGATTATTGTTTTAATTTCAGAAACAAACAAGAGGGATTGATTTAAAAACTATTTGAAGTGACAACTACTAAAACCCTAGCCCCTGTTTGATTTGGATAAAATTTATTTTTACTAGATTTTGAAATAAGTTTACGAAATAGGTGATAAACAGTTGTGTATTATATGAAATGTGTAGTTGAAAATGAGGTTTGTTTTCTCTCTTTCTTTTTTTATTTTATTTTATTTATTTTATTTTATTTTTTTATTTTTAAATGAGTTGTAAAAAATGAGGACCAAACATAGTTCTCTACTTCAACCTTTCTAGTAATCTCTAGTCTTAGCTCACCAAAAGGTTTATATGTGAGGGGTGCCGTGCATTATAGTTTCTAATTCATCAGGTATGTTAAGCTGATACATGTGATGGTGCACTATGATTGAGCCTTAATTATCTCATTTTGAAAATAATAAATTTTCAAAGTGGGAATGTTAAGACTTTTTTCAGACATTTGACTATATCATTTGAGTGGAACCCTAGTATTGTTTGTAGACTTGAATTTTAGTTTTTAACTATCTACTTTGAAAATCAATTGGTGTCCTATGAGGAAATGTTATATCTAGACAATATTTGAACATCATCTTTTGAATGATTCAACCTATGAGTTTAAGAATGGTATTGTTGTTCTTCAACGTAATATTGAGATGAAATTGTTTTGTTAAAATTGAAGAATCATTGTTTTTCTTGTTGATGGACCTTAGGATAGGTTGGTAGGTCAGATATCTTACTTGATCTCATTTTTGAAATGACCATGTCAAATCCTCCAATCATTACATAAGCCTAACTTATTAATTATTCGTCACAATAGCCTTTTCAACATTAAAAGACAAAATAATATTTTATTTCAAAATTTAAAAGCGGGAATTTATTCACAGACCCTAAATCCGTAGACCCTTGGGAAATGACGTTTGGGGGGTCGATTAACAGACTCCCCAGACTCCATTAGTAGATAATTGACCCTCTATGATTTTTTCACAGATTTGGATTTCTTCAGTGCTACAAAAAAATTTCGGTTAAAACTTTGAATATCATTGCAAATAAAAACATTATCAATCATATTATAAGCAATGTATATATAAAATCTAACCAAATAAAATGAAGAAACCTTGAAGAAGGAGAGGAAGAAACCTTGAAGAATCGATTTTTGGTAGGAGAGTCTTCAAATTCGTAACATTCAAAAGGGGTGCAAAATAGATAGTGATTTTTTGTTTTAAAAAAATAAATTTACACCTTTTTTTTTTCTTAAATTTAGTCAAAGGCCATTGTGAAAAATAGACCGGATCAACCGGCCATTGGCCACCAATTCTTCTATCTTACTTTAAGATGGTAGATGAAAAATGGCACGATAAAATTCTTAAAATTAAACCCAAAGTAAAAGACCTAAAAAAAAAAAAAAATACTTGGAAAAATGGAAAATACACATACACACAAATTAGAATGGTATATAATTTTGTTTATCATTCTTATTATCCTGAAAAGAAAGGCCAAGAATCTCTGATCCAAAGAAGACCAATGACATGTAGCCAACTCAGTAATCAAAATCTCTCTTTCATTCATCCTCCTCTTCACAAATCTTTCTCCTCAAATTAAACCTCTGACCTTTGATTAATAATCTAACCGATATCCACAATCTATTTATCAAAAAAATCCCCAGTCCTCCTCCTCCTCCCACCACCACCATGGCCTCCACGTTGTTCTCCACACCAACTTTCCAAGGTCTCAGACCTCTTAACAAGCCCACTGACACAACCTTCCAGAAACCCATCTCCTCCACCTTCTGCCGCCCATTCACCGCCAAGGCCAGGCCGAGCAGCCTCAAAATCAAGGCTGAGCTCAACCCTTCACTGGTCATCAGCTTAAGCACTGGACTCTCCCTTTTCTTGGGCAGGTTTGTTTTCTTCAACTTCCAAAGGGAAAACGTGGCCAAACAGGTGCCTGAACAGAATGGAGTTTCACACTTTGAAGCAGGTGATGTGAGGGCCAAGGAATATGTGAGCCTTCTTAAATCTAATGACCCTGTTGGATTCAACATTGTTGATGTACTGGCTTGGGGCTCCATTGGTCATATTGTAGCTTATTATATTCTAGCCACCTCTAGCAATGGCTATGATCCCAAGTTCTTTGGTTGAATCTTATCTCTTTTTTTACTGATGTTGTTATGTATAGAGTTTCTGTGTTTGTAGAAGAAGACACTACTACAATATCATTTGCACTTTTATGTTGATCCCAAACTTGTATTCTTTTCCTTAAATGTATCTATTCAAGCATCCAATTTGTTAGAAATTATGGGGAAGAAATCAATTATTTAGTTAACTAAGCTAAAGAAGAAAAAAGGGGGAAGAAGGTAAAAATTTGATAGGGTTCTAATTTCCAATGGTAGGGCTGAACATGTTACAACGACAACTACCACCACCAATTTGTTATTTGTTTCGGTTGATAGGTATTGGAAGGCTCAAGCGTGAGAATACTGAGATTCTAGTTAAAAAAAAATTAAAAATAAAAATATTGAAAAATGTTAATTGGGAGGCCAAGTTTCAATTATCAAATCTGAAAATATTTTGACTAATTTTATAGAAATTATTCTTCGAAGTATGATAAATTGCTCCACTCTTTTTTTCACAACTCATCTGTATGTAAATTATTATGCGTCTCCTATGTATAAGTAGCATTATTCCCTAATAAGAAAGAAAAATTGTTTATGTTCGATTCTCTCTTTTATTAATAGAAAAATATACCACGAAGAGGATACGCTTGAACTAAAAAGAAAAAAAGAAAAAAACATTAAGGGTCCGTTTGATTGTAAAGATGAAATTGAATTGAATTGAAAACAAATTTCAGGGAATTAAATTGCTTGGAAATTGTTTTCCTGAGAATTGTAAGTTATTATGTTTGATTGAAATAATTTTTTATATGGATAATGTTGAAATAAAAGTGTTTTTTGATCTTCGTTTGACTTTATTTTACCTGAAAATTGTCAACTAAAGGAATATATTTTACTGGTATTGGGGATGAAATTTATTTTCATTGCCAACACACACACAAAAAAACAAAAATTTCAATAAAATCATCTATCTTTTGATGTTCGTTTGGCTTTGTTTTACATGAAAATTGCGATTTAAAGAAAAATATTTTTTTTACAATAATTATTAGAATTTATTTCCATTGCCCAAAAAATAAATGAAAAAAAAAATATTACAGTAACCGAGAATTCCAATTTTCACTATTTTGGTGAGAATTGAAATTCAAAGAAAACATGGAAATTAGCTTAGGTGACATAAAAGGTAGAATTCAAATTCTACGAAAAGTTTTGCCAATCAAACAACAAAAAATTGAAAAGATGAAATTTGATTTCCATATTTCATGAAATTGGGGTGCAATCAATAATATCCTAATTACTATGTTCAAGGATATATACCTTCTATTCATCATGTGTTATGAGTTATTCCAGTAAATTACTATCCCAAACCATTGGATAATTTCCTATACTTCGTAGTAGAAAAGTGGCGACTCTTCTATCGTCCTCAAAGTCTCTGTGTCAGAACGGTTCAATGCAAATGATGGGCTACCTTTCTTCATAATCGTACAATCACCAAGTCCCAAGCAATCCATGTCTTCTTATATTTTTATTGTAATTAAGCCCATATTTGTCTCGCATTTTTGACAAATCACAATGCATTTTTTTTACGTTGGTTTCCTGACATTTTTAAAAATTGTGAGAGGACAGTAAAAAAAAGAGGTTTGGTGGGGCCCATAAACGGCTTAATTTCTTCTAAAATGGAGGAATAAATGGCAAAAAACAGTGGCTAAGTGTTCAACTTAAAATGATGAATAGGTTGAAATGATAATACATCCATATGGGTGTGAAGAGCAAGGAGAAATATTGAAAACAAGATGAGAAGAAAAATACGAAGGGACCGAAATTTGGCTAGCTTTCAATAACCCGATTCCAAAACCTTCGCTCAGGCTAATTTTTTGACTGTTGAGTTTGAAATTTTTGGTTTGTCTTTTGGCACATTTACATGGAAAATCCATCTTTTCATAAATTATTGAGACCTTTTCATGGTGTATGAATGAAAATCTATATATATGAGATAGCTTTCATTCCTCTAAAAATTATTAAACCACGAATAATTGAGATCATTTCATATTGCCAAAGTATCTTTACATATTCAAAAGCCTTTGTGTTCTACAAGTTCTGAAGGTGAAACACTAGTGTTTAAGTATTTTCTTCTTCAATGCTCGATCAATCCTAGAACCCTATTTGTCAAGAATAAGCACCAATTAAATTCTATAGGGGAAAAAAATCGTTTTAGGATAACGGTGATTGAGTCTTTTTACCATAATTTGGTGTTCATGATTTTTCATTTTGTTCTCTTCTCCATTCCCCTAGAGGGATAATATTCCAATAATCTCATAAGGTATTGTATATAGAACAAAATTACCATGGCCACTATCAAACTCATGAATCAAAGACCTTGTTCGCTTAGATTGATTCGACAGAACAAATTTCACTCGATGGCAAGACAAGTTGAAGTTCCTTCTAATGACGTTGAAGATTTACTACAACCTTTCGATAATTTCAAATTGATTTGTTGCGGTCACATACTCAATGCATTATCCAATTGCTTGTATGAACACCATTACATATTCGGTGAAAGAGATATGGAATGCTTTGAAAAATAAATTCAAAGCTGAAGAATAAGGTACAAAGAAACTCCAGATATGGAGGTATTTCGATTTCAAATTCCTTGAAATTATTCTCGTTTTTCTCTAAATGTATGAATTGCAAGTGTTCGTCAATAAATTGAAAGTGGACAAAATAGAACTTACAGAATCCTTTTAAGTGGAAGCAATCATTGCAAAACTCCTGGAACGTGGAAAGGATATTGAAAAAAGATTCTTCAAAGTTTTGAAGATTACTCTTTGAAACAAATTTAGAAACGTTTTTGAATTGAGGAAGAATTGAGGGCAAGAAGAGTGAAAACTCTTATAAAGGCACTTCAAAGACCATTGTCATGAAAAAATTGAACCTTTGAACAAATCCAATAGGAGCGAATCTTCTAACAAAGACTACAAAAAGCCTCGGAAGAAGCCTAATGGGGATAGTTTTGTGTGTGAAAAATCTGAACATTTTGCAAAGGATTGTGGAAATTGAAACAAAACAAGAAAGAGGGCAATGTGAACTCCATTGATAACGATAGTATTGTGGCTACATGAGCGAAATAAATGCTATAAAAAAATAAAAAATCTCGATTGATAGTATGATACATGTGCAACTATAAATGTATCACTTAATAAGTCACTCTTTAAAACTTATCATGAATTAAATGTAGAGCAAGAAGTTCAAATCAGTAATGAAGACCGTTCCAAAGTGGTTGGAAAAGAAAATGCTGGTATTGTTTTCACTTCCGAAAAAATCGTTACCTTGAAAAAGGTACTATATGTTCCTGATATGAATAGGAACTTAGTGGAAATCTCTTGCAAAATCGAGTATAAAATGTGTTTACGAATCCAAAATAATTATATTATCTTGAAATGAAAAAATTGTTGGAAGCTATTTTTGTGAATGAATGGTCAAATTGTGTACCACTGACAATATTAATAATAAAGTTGATTTTTGCTTATTTGGTTTATTCTTTTACATCATGACATGCTATATTAGGTCACATAGGTGCTAGTACCATAAAAAAATGTTAAATTGTGACATGATTTTCATATTTTAGAACTTATTCACTCGGACATATATGAATTTTATGGCATGTTAACTAGAGATATAAATAGATATTTCATTATCTATATAGATGATTACTCTATGCATACTTATGTTTATTTAACGAAACATAAACATGAAACATTTTGACAAGTTTAAGACTTATAAAAATGAAGTTAAAACTCACTTAAATAAAAAAAAATAAAAACACTTAGAAGTGATAGAGGAAGAGAATACTTCTCTTGTTATTTTAATTCATTTGTGAACAACTGAGTATAGTAAATTAATGTTCTGTACCTAGGATATCCGAACAAAATGGTTTGATTGAAAGAAAAATAGAACAATAGTTGAAATGATAAAGGCTATGTTAATATATGCTAAATTGTCATTTAATTTGTGGAGTGAACTCCGTTGAGTGTATGTAGAATATTAAATAGAATTCCTTCAAAATTTACAAAAATTTCTACTTGTAATTGTGGAAAGAAAGAAAATCAAACATTGGATACTTCAAATTGTGGGGTGCCTTGTATATTGTAAGAATGCGAAACCTAAAAGGACCAAGTTGGTTCAAGAGACATTGAGTATGCCTTTATTGGATAAGCTAGAAATAGCAAATCATATAGATTATTGAATTTGGGGACCAATGTAATAGTTGAATCAAGTAACGTGGAGTTATTTGGGAATTTGCTATCTTCGAATACCGAATTATGGAAAACTCATTAAGAGATTCCTAGTTCTAGTAGGAGTTTTAGGTATATGTAACCTTTTGTTTAAAGGTCGTTCGAGCTTTACGTGGGAGTATGGCGTGGGTTGCACCTAGACCTAGCAAGATTAAGTGAACACTTAAAATTGTGGTCAAAATGAAACATCTTGTGAAGATATTAATAAATTTATTGAGTTTCGAAGAAGCAAAAGAACTTGAATAGAAAATGTTTTAAGACTGGATGAACTTAATTCTCAATTTATTTCACTTTACTTAGCAGAGGGAAATAAGAAGAATCTCGCAAGGACAACAACTTTTGTTTTTCAAGTGAAAAGAGAACTTAAAACTTATAGAGAAACTATCGCTTCTCATGATAGTATCTTTTGGAAAGATAAAATTAAGGATGAGATGGATTCAATCATTTCAAACACTAAGTGGAAACTTCTTGATTTACAACCCGAGCCTAAATCTATCGGTTGTAAATGGGTGTTTAGGCGAAAATATAATGTAGATGATTTTCTTAATACCTTTAAAGATAGATTGATAGTTGAAGGTTATCGACAAAGAGAATGAATTGACTATGTTTATACATGTACATTGGTATCTAGAATAACATCAATTAGGATATTATTCGTATTAGCATCCATATATAACAACCTGAAGAGTTTGTTCTACCAGAAAATAAACACAAGGCATGCAAGCTAGTAAAGCAAGTATTTAAGAAATGGCACGAAAATTTTGACATAGCAATTATTTCATTTGAGTTTATACATAATAGTTTAGGTAAGTGTTTTTATTCGAAATATGTGATAAAAATGTTATATTTGTTTGCTTGTATATTGATGACAAGTGGATACATTGGGTATCAAAGTTA